CCGAACAAAGCAGAATCGAATGGTATATTATATGCATACATAAAAAGAAAAAAACAATTAGTCTTGCACTCGTCCTATAAAAAACTCAGAAACAATTTCGCAAACCTATCTAGTTCTTCTTTGGAAAGATAGAGCCGATTTTTACACTTCATTAGAACCGTCATTAGTTTGCAACCTTGATTCCGAATATTATATTTTTTATTGCATAAAACGTGATTCCCGATGATTAAAATTGAGAATACCCGGATACTTCCGAGTTTTGCGTCTCTGATCTAGAAAATATGAAGTTTCCCAATGACAAAGCATTCATAGTGTCACGTGACTCACTTCATATCGAATATATACTACAGTGCTGGATATGCTGGATATGATGAAAGCTATACTATGAAATAGGACGGGATACTGAATCAGCTGATCTAACAATATAGGAATTCTTGTTGAAAAATAGTCAAACTGTTTCTGCTATGAGATAATTAATTGTCACATGACTCACTTCATAGTGAATATGTGCTACATGATGTGGGAACATATTACGTTGTGAGTATGTTGAATATGATGAAAGCGTGAATATGTCTACCTACATATTCATTCTATCTACATGAATATGTTGGATATGATGAAAGCTATACTATACCAGAACGGATAATTATCATTCATTATCCTGTCATATATTGTACTATAGCTTTTCTCGTAGCATAAACACTGTAGCATATATTCACGTGACAATTAATTATCTCATAGAAGAAACGATCGAGTTGTCTCAAAAGTATAGTCGTTTTGTGACATTGATTATACGGTAACTAAAGCAAATATTCGAAAAGAAGCTGTATCATGTGTCACTTTGTAATATTGGAGGGATTATGGTGAAAGCATTTATTTCAATGATACACCCAGAAATACTTAAGGGTGTAAGAGCATTCCTGCTTGTTTTTAAAGAGATCAACATTTGAAGAAAAAAAAACAATCTATTTTATATTTTTTTCGTGCTTGTAATAACAAAGAATAGAAAAAAGTATATAAATACAGCTATACACTAGTCTGAATTATAGACAAAAGTATCAGCACATGACAGTATAAACGTTATTACCTTTAATAACCAAATGTGAGTAAATAGATGGACACTATGCGATTAAACTAAAGTAACTTCTTTTTAGTTTCCAAATGCATCTACTAACGAAGGGATGTTTTCAACTACACAATCGCTTTTGAGTTCGGACTTTGTGCCTAAAATAGCCCCTAATTGCCAGTCGGAGGCTCACATTAAAAACAAAGAAACAAATCCAAGCAATTGATAAAGCTGAAAGTGAAGATAATAATAAAAAGATTTCACTCTTCCTAAGGATACGGATGTTATAAATAGTGTCATGAATGAAAATATATAAGTCTCGGACTAGATGCCCTGAAAATTTCAGCTCAAAAGGATGTTTCTTCCCCTAGATATTAAAGTCCCAAAAATGTATCATATGCCACACAAACGATGCTGGAATTTTCTATTTTAAATCTCAGATCGAAATACCATCATTCGATTTGTTGGTATGTACCATGCCATAAGCTAAAATTCCAGTAAAATGCCTATAATTCTCGACAGAAGGCCTAAAGACATTTATTTCTTTTGAGGCTTTTCATATCTCTCTATGATGTATCTTATGCACAAAGTCCGAACTCAAAACCGATTGGGCAGTTGAAAATGTTCCCTCGTAAAACTAACTCATCCTATCCATACAGTAATTAGGTTTTTAGAGTGGATAGGAGCAGTTTTTGCTGTTTTCGTATTACTTAGGATCTTTTCCATGATGTAATGTTGGTGGTGGTACTTTTTACTTCCTGTACTTCTGTACTTCATCTTGACATCGTTTCAATTCATCCATGTCCAACAGAATAACTATGCTCGGTTGATCATCGATCAATTGCAGTTGATTGTTGATCAACCGAGCATGGTTATTTACTGATTACTACATGTTCAATCGATTTTCACCACATGAGAATACAGAGGAAGGTTGTTAGCTGGAGGATAAAATGACTGATCAAGCATACAGTTGTCGTCAAAAGTCCCGTTACAAAGTAAGAATCCTGATCGTAACCAGCAATCAGGACTTGATCGACCTTCGTACGAAGGAGTTAGAAGGTCAGCATAGACTTTTTATACAGATGAGGATATTTCAGCATTAAAAAACAGATTTCACGCCATTTGACATATCATTCGAGAGCTCATTGTTGCCTCGATCATCAATAAAAGTTTCATGTCGAACGACTGTTTTTTGTCTTATTTATGAAGTTATTTTTGGATACTCTTGACATGAGAATTGATGGGATTGCTCAATACAGTGACCTTTAGCTCCAGTTAATTTCAACCATTTGGCTTGAAGTTTTCTCCAGTAAGTGTTCTGCTCTAATCACGTTTTTCCTGAAAGTTTCATGATTATAGCTGTTGGGGATGTGCGAATTTGTGCGAAGGGCATCTCAGATAATGAAAGCGTCACCTTGCCTCAGGATTACAGCAGACTGGAATCTCCTATTTGTGCAACAATAAAGACATGTACGGTTTTATTTGCCAATAAAAGAATGAACGTTGACGCTTTAAAATAATGGAGGACCAGAAATGCATAAAAAAAGCCTTTTGGAGGTCCAAGGAGACAAACTGTGTTTTTATTCTAAATCCGATGCGTCAGGACTGATCGACATTGGATTGGTGCCGGCGATCAGGATTTACAGAGTTCTGCTGGTAGTAAAAATATCACGAAAAAAGATTGAAGCTTAGGTACTTTTTATATGATAGCTGGACTTTTGATGACTACTGTAGACAAGATTAACAAAATCGAGAGAAAGAGGTGCCTGACAACTGAGCCATTATGGTTTTTTTCCTTTACATATAAAGGCATGCTAGAATGATTTGTTCACTTATACTCATCGTATCATTCATTTGTACTCATAGAATATTCCAATGTGGATTATTATGCAGTTCCTAGTGGCGGTGATTCTACCTTTGACCACTCTTGCGCAACAATATGGAACGTGTACAGCCAGGAATGGCCGTGGTGGAGAATGTATTAACACCAAAACATGTGCAAACAGCGGTGGAACCTCGGATCCGGCCAATCTCTGCCCCGGTGACAATTCGATCCAGTGCTGCACATATGGCACATGCAAGAATAGCAAGGGTGTCACGGGCATATGTCAGCCAACTTCAACTTGTAAGGGAAGCTCCGATCCGGCCAATCTCTGCCCTGGTGGCAACCATATTCAATGCTGCACGGTAGGGTCTACTCCGACTGGTCCTGGCACCAGTAAACCAATTAACACGATGCTCACGGGTTTAGCCGACATTCTTCGTGGCGCCGGTCTCAAAGTGGTCGAGGTTGCCGGCTGGAAGACTCGTGGTCATGGTGTGATGGCGTCTGTGAAGGGTATTATTGTTCATCACACGGCAGGCTCATCGACGGGCGACTATCCCTCGCTAGCAACCGTTCGTGACGGTACGTCTGGCCTTGCCGGTCCAATCGCACAACTCGGACTAGGCCGCTCAGGAACTTGGTTTGTCATTGCAGCAGGTCGTTCCTATCACGCCGGCAACACCCTCGATGACTCCATATATGGAAATAACAACGCAATTGGTATCGAGGCCGAAGGAGTTGGTTTGCCAGCTACCGATAGTGGACATGCACACTGGCCGGAAGTGCAATACCAGAGCTATGTGAAAGGAGTCAAAGCTCTCCAAAAAGCTTACGGTGTGCCTACTGCTCGTGTGTTGGGACATAAGGAGGCGGCGGTACCAAAAGGCCGCAAGATCGATCCCAATTTCTCTATGGCTGAGTTTCGCGCTAAACTTGGCTAAAGTCACGTGACTAGAGACACCGGTTTCAAAGAACCGGAATCGGTGTATGCCTAGATGTGACTTCGTTCTTCTATTTGTCATTTTTTGTGATATGATGTTCAATAGAAGCCAGTAAAAAACTTTTCAGTACAATCTCTACAAGAACAAAATGCGAGACACGCTGGAGTCATGATGAGGAAATCTCGCTATGTCTATCACAGTACGTGGTGGAACTAAAGACCAGCATGTTGAAAAACTCGAGAGCGTCACAGACCATGGCAACCCATAAAATATGCATGGAGTGTCAGTGTGGATTTGTGCATATCAGTAAAATGAATATTCATACCAACATCTACTCCATCCCAATAAAGAGTGTCCTAGAAGTTCTGAAACAATATTAAACTTCATCGTTCTTGCATTAAGCAAAAGAAAACTTTTTGAAACTTTCGTAAATTATTGTGCTGACATAGTACTGAATAACATGAGATCAAAAAAGTTTAGCTTCGTATATGTTATTGATCATTTTTGGTCTTAAAATTGATTTTTCTCATTTTCATTATGTCTTTTTGTAAAAGTAAGATAATATTCTTGATCCTCGAACAAAGCAGAATCGAATGGTATATTGTACGAATACATAAAAAGAAAAAAACAATTAGTCTTGCACTCGTCCTATAAAAAACTCAGAAACAATTTCGCAAACCTATCTAGTTCTTCTGTGGAAAGATAGAGCCGACTTTTGCACTTCATTAGAACCGTCATTAGTTTGCAACCTTGATTCCGAATATTATATTTTTTATTGCATGAAACTTGATTCCCGATGATTAAAATTGAGAATACCTGCAGACTTCCGAGTTTTGCGCCTCTGATCTAGAAAATATGAACTTTCCCAATGACAAAGCACGACGGGAGAAAAAGAGGTATGTATTTTTAAAGCTCGTTTAATGGCGGTTCTAATGAAGTGCAAAAATCGGCTATATCTTTCCAAAGAAGAACTAGATAGGTTTGCGAAATTGTTTCTGAGTTTTTTATAGGACGAGTGCAAGACTAATTGTTTTTTTCTTTTTATGTATGCGTATAATATACCATTCGATTCTGCTTTGTTCGA